AACTGTATCAATTAAATTGGTGTCATCTAATTCTAAAAAATTTACGATTCATCAGGTAAGTCCCAAAAACAATTTTATATGTATTTACTTTACCAACACAGATACGAAAGCATACAATTTCATTATCAAACTTTTCTTCAGTTATCAAATAAGAAATCAAGACTAATTTGGGATCCATGATTAAACGATCTAGACATTGACCAAATAACGGGAACGAATCAACCATAGTTATCATAAATTTCGATAAAACAATGAAAAGATGGAGTTGATCTAAACTCATTGTTTGATCGAGATTTATAGAAGCGACTAACTGTTTTAAATTTCTGGAAAATATTTGTCATACTAAAATAAGACGATACATTTACAGGAACAATTAAATGACATATTTTAGGCTGAAACTGTCTTATTTACAGTGATTAACGCTTTGATGATGATTTGTTGATCAAAATTAATTGGTTAAATTATTTCTAGATATTGAATTTTTCCACTTAATAAAACTGATCAAATGAATGTAGGATACAAAACAATTATCTGAACGTTTCTTGCAAAAAATTACATGAATATCAAGGGTATAAGATTGCTTCCCACGACGCACTTGTTAGTAATCCGCGCCAGTTACCTTATAAGTTTCTAATACAAATATCTAGAAGGCAACTACTAAGGCTCGATAATTTCTATACTGTCTTAATTCATTTCCCATTTAAATAATAATTGTTAATCATCCCCTTATAAATTCGATCATCGTGATAAAAATCGTCACCATTAAATTTATTACCAACTGGGTCACATTTGTTATAGCAAACATAGTGGTCGCATTCACTAACGATTGTGATAATAATGGTGACGATGATAATCAAAATAAGTAAAAATCAATAGACTGTTTATTTTCATCAGCTATCTTCATTTATTTAACTGTGTTAAGTTTTTTAGGTTGTTGGAGGTATTCTACAAGAAACCCTGGACTTAGGTCTCGTGCTGATTGACACTCATCATCAAAATTTACGTGTAATATTGAAATAGCATATGCTCCTTGAAATGTTCGACCCCGTGTCACCCAGCCTCACGGTCTGAAACCTTACCTGACATCTCAACACAGTCCATGTGATGTCGAGTCACTCAAACTAGTTGTTAAAATACAACTTGACCCATAGAGTTTGGACAGCATTAAAAAGACTAGACAAACATGACACCGCTTTCTACTCAGTGACTAATCAACCGTATCAAAGTTATATGTACATCGAAATAAAATACTAAAAATATAGGTGGCATATATCTCAATAAACACAGAAACTTAAACCAACGGAATCTGTAAAAATATACAATTAAACGTCACTATACTTGCGATTACATATGATCTATCGATCAAATAGGCTGTAAATACTATAATAAGTTACACATTGTGGCTCTGAATTATGTTCGGCATTATATTTTTATGGGACGTTCTTAGAAGGGCGAAATTCCATAAGTGTGTGATTATGCGTTATGATGCAGCTAACCTCCACTTATCGAATGCTAAACGAAGTGCAGATTGTTACCACTTTATCCATTTTAATGAATTTCATTTCATTTTTAAATAGAAAAGTTTGATAAGTAGTTGGTTTTTCTACACAACACACTACCTGAAGATGCTGCTACACACCAGTTTATTAGTGAATAATATGACTTTTGGATAAACTTAAGTTTCAGAAGAGCAAGCAAACTTCGAAAAGCCTCGTTACTGAGTTGCATAACCCAGAACAAAAAATTCCCAGTTACTGTCTTTAGTGCTGGACTTCATCTGTGAAACTATGTGATCAATAAGGAACAAAACTCAATTCCACTTACTTATCGTATATACATTTGAAATGATCAAGAAAATGGTTTTTATGTACTTTAACCAGTTTTATTATAATGTTGCAGATATCCCTAGATTAACTACTTATCGTGTTTACTTTTTTCCCATTTTAAAATGGTACAGCTTTCAGAAAAAGTACAGTGAATAACAACAATAACAATACGATAATATCATAACTAATACTCCCTTTGAAACAGTTACTCTTCACTTATTCTTTATGTGAAACAAGTTTTTATAAACCTTTTTCTTATAAATTCAGTCAAGTGTAATTATTTTTGTTGTTATAAATATTAGTAGAAAATAATGATGATAATAATCATTTAAGAAATAATAAAAAGGATGTTTACAAGCTTATTTGTCAAACTACTGAAGTCATATGCAAACTTTCTATTATCGAATACTGGCAGAAGAGAATTTTCTTTTGATTTCATCAACACCATCAATTTTTGTCAACGTAACTGTAAAATGAAACAAAACATGGGAGGACGCACCACATACTATCAAGTTCAGGGATTCTGTTGCCAACTGAGTATATATATGGAACGTTTCAAATTGAGAAAATATTAACTAAAAGACTTAACAACTTTCAAAAAATAAGGTTGTCTTTAACGTCTAAAACCAAATTAATGGTAATGCATCCAAGTTCTTGACTAATACAAGATTAAAAAACTAGATGACACTGATTAACCTTATTTATTACCCAATAAACTAAATTTTTATTAAAGTTTAACAAAATGGGATTTTAAACTTTAATGCATCTCTTCCAGGTGTTACATCCCTCTGATTAACAGAAAAAGGGAGACTAATAGTAATGAAGAATGAAAGCATAGCAAAAGAATAATGAATACAAACAATTGCGATTTTGAATTATAAAGTTAATCACATCTTACCACAAACTAAATAGTTCCCTACCACTGAACCATTAGCAATTTGTTTCACTAATTAGAAATACATCCAATTATTCCGTTAATTTAAAGATTTTAATGCGTTGTATGCAAATCAGATACTCAAATAATGAATCCCATGTGAGACTGTAGTGGTGTTCACAAAATATTAGCTAAGTTATACGTTGAAAGACATTCACCTTTGGTTAAACTCCAACAAGCACATGGTGAAGGTCAACAAATATGGAAATATAACTCTGTACTTTCGTACACTGTTTTCGGGCACTTAACTCCAAATACAGTGAGCTGGGATTTAGTTATTTATAAAGACGGTTTAACAGCTATACTTGATCCACAACAACTAAATACCGTTGAGAATACGACTAATTTACTGAGTTATCAGTTCTATTAACAAAACTCGAGCCAAAACAACACGTACAACCTTAAATTGATATTACAACAACTATGGCAAGCCATTCATCTGAAATGAACTAATAATATGAAAGTAACAAAGAATAGATCTCAGTAATAATTATCCATATAATATAACTTACAATTGAATAAATGCATCCAATGACTTTATAAAACGTAGATAAAGTTAAGGCCTTTCAGAATTAACTAAGTTAGTTCTTAAGTATATCAGTAAAAATTCAACCTTCCAGTAAAATAATAACTACAAGTGGATTCATAACTAGAAATAAAGCTGAAATACTAAGGATGATGTATCCTTTTAATTATTCAATAGTAGTTTTGTGTGGCTAGCATAAGTACTGTTTTTACTTATTACCTTCCACTTGTCAGTTCAGCTAAATGTATGGTAATGTAGCGGTAAATAAATCCCCAAAATAAATAGCTCTGTAAGTTTTCAACATTGGATGCTGACCATATGTTCTAGTGGACTCATCTAGCTGAAGGCGCTCGGGCATGCATCCGCACCAGATCACGTGTGGTAACGCTGTGCTCAACATCTACCGCAATCGCTAGCCAGACTAGATCAGAGAATTCCGATATATTGGTTATCGCCAAATACACTCTTCCGATTTCCTCGACTCTGTCATTTGATTTCTCTTGGTGGGTATGAGTTATATAAGGTGTTGCTGGTAAAAGCGTTGTCAAACACTGAATACCTGTGCCATCTTCAGTAATCAACAAATCATCGTTAAACGCAAGTTTAAATATATAGATAGCATGTTTTCGATCATATTTGTTGTTTAAATTATAATAAACTAATTTGTACCGGGTTATCAAATGGCATCTTTATCCCTCATTTACACAACTATCATTTAAAAAATGATTGCCTTGTTGTTATGCGTTACAATTCGTCAGCTAGGCTTAATTTTGTACACTTAAAAGCTCAGTTTAAGAAGTTTATATGAAGATTTAACCTCATAGTACAGTCATTCCAAATGTAGTACTTCAAAAAAAATCGAAATTTTATAAGATTAAATATTTTACAGAGTCAATAACACTTAGATTAATAAATATTAGAGTTGCGAAGCAGAAGTGTTTCCTTTTTTACCTGACATAATCATAATCTAACTAAAAAATACTGAGTTCATCACTTTTCTTTATACGATTACAAATGATTTTTTGACTTGAATTAACTTGAAAACAAAGATAAGTGGTATGGTTCATCTTTTATCAATATACTGCTCCGGTGCAATAAAAGCTTACAATCTTTGGCGTTGCCTATTCTGGAAAAAAAAATAGTGACAAGTTTCAATGAATAATTGAGTTGTTAATGGAACACTTGTGTGCTACTAAGTAAGCAAGTATAAATTGATGAGCACGACTCTCTATGGCACAGAACTATTACTCAGATGTTTAGATAATACCTTTAAAAACAGAATTTGATCTCGTAAACTAATGGATGATTAGTTTATATACTTTCACTAAAGAATGGTCACATTAGACCGGAAAGTGGCTAAAACAGGGGAATAAAACCAAATGAACTGCGAAACGAAAAAACTATCTTGCTATTACGTCCACGGATTAATTTCCGAAAAATTTAATGTTTGGAAGATGAAAATAATGTTGTAAAATATATAATAGAGCTCAGTATGGCATGATATCTAAAGATATACGTTGTGCAGTGTTGTTAGAAAACTTACATATCTGCACAAATGATTAAATAAACAAGTTGGGTTGCTTTGCATTGCAAAAAACCAATCACTCCAAGTTCTATATCCGAAAATTTTGCCACAATCGATTGGTAAGTTACGAGTATAAAACATGCATTAAGCAATGTAAAGGAAAAGACTCAAAAGTGTACTCTAACTTACAATAAACTTTCGTTAAGGAAGCAATTTAACTGATGAGTAATCTAGTAGCAACTAGTTGTTATCATCTGCTCACGAAATGACCTACCAATGACCTACAGATCTGTTTTACATTCACAAGCAAGTTGTAACAAAATAGTACAGAAAAACAAAACTTCCCACAATATACGGCCTACTTCTTTATTAGTACTGCTCTATTTATAGACTTAATCCTGAAATTGTGGATTCGTCATGATGTGTGGTTTGAGTACAACGCCACTACAAGCTCATCAAATCACAATGAAAGCGATCGAACTGAGAATCGAGCTGCTGAAAGGACCTTAAGGAATACGTCTAGTTACAGATTTCTGGCAGTTTATATAGAATTTTGCTCACATCACAGCATTTCTCTTCATACCAGACCAGCGAAATCGTTCTGTTGTGAGCGTGAATGTCGCTCCAGAACCCTAATGTGGAAGTTTTGTAACATATTCAAGACGTTGTGATGACAATTTGAGGACTCAGTCGGGGGATTCCTGCAGGCGGATGTTTGCATAATAAAGTTTTCTTACCGCTTTTTATCTGTCTGACCTGAAACTTAAGGGTTGTTGACGTTAGTTCATATCAATGACCTTCCGAAACTAGGTTGGTTAGAGCACGTTGGTTCCCTGAAATGATTCTGACGGACTTATCAGTTACCAAACTTCCACAAAATAGATCTTTTGCTCTTAAATATGCGACAACTTTGAACTTGACCGCAAGATATGTTCTAATTGGTGTAATTTTCAAGAACCATACCTATCATGAAGTGAGCTTATGAGAAATCAGTCGTTCATGGCTGATAGTGATATAGAACGTTCGGGACTCTATAGAGTGTCCTATAAGACAGTGCACAGCTAAAAGCTTCCTACCAAAAGTGCCATACATCATTCCAGCGGCTTACAACTATCTCATACATCTCGAAAGCTGTCAAGTTTCATCTGTTCATCATTAGAATATTCCGGCTTATGAGTTAGGTGAGTCTGAAACGATGCTAACGGATACTTGGTGTCGTCATGAGTACCATTTACTTGACGACTTTATACACTACTGCAGTCGGTGCTTTCTTCACACTCGTCCAATTCGGTTATTCATGCTCGCATGCCAAATTGATATGGTAACAACCAAAAAAACAACTCAGATTTCGGTAGGAGCCACTTGAAAAAAGATAATGTTTAGAATTATTTGAATTATAGTACGAAATAAGAGTCCCAGAGATAACGCAATTGAATTAAGAAGTAAGACTCAAGCACAAGCGAATGTACTGTATATGGAATACGAAATCGTCCAATCAACAAGTATATAATAATATAATATAATATAATAATATATTTCTGCATGTGCAGGTACACACCGTTTTTACAGGCATGATCTATAAATTACAACATTTGTTGGTTCACAAAATGTTTCCCAACTTACTAAGTTTATAGTTGTTATAAAGTGAAATCGTAGAGCGCTTGCTGTAAACTATGACCTTGAGAGGACGAGTACATCAAGTTTGTTCTAAACGTCAGAAGTTTCATAGCTGTGCTCTCAGAGCAAGATTCTGAAGAAAAAAGAGAAAAAAAGAGCAGCAAGGCACTTGGATATGAACGCCAAACACTACTTAGCATAGTGTAGTAGAACGGACAGAGGTATAATAAATTAGAATAAATTCATATTGTCTTGTTAGTGAAATGAAGTCAGAGGCTCCATATTATAGAATGTACTAATAAAGAACAATGATTTGTGATGTTTAACAAGTTGGTGTAAGCTCACATGAAAGAAAGGAAGTCAAGGCTGTTACTAGGAAAGCGGTTTATAAGAAGGGTGTGTATATAGAGAGTGAAGTGTTAAGAATATTAATGACTACATCTTTTATTGTCTAACTTTTTTTCTTTTTTTGTTTTTCCGATGCCAGCCACACAATCCTAGTGTAAAAATCCGAGTTAGCATGTTATGGGTTGTCTTAGTAGAATAGCTAATCCAGCATAATATTGGAAACATGAGTTTGAGTGGTGAGCGTAGGAAAACAATCTATATCACAGATTGATTGAATTATTCTCAGTCATGAGGAGCCTGATACATACAAAATGTTCTGTCCCCACAAACATGGGTGGATTGAAGTTATCGCCCTCACCATCAATGCTTGCTGGTCAGTAACTCCACCCTCCCTCCTTTTGTGATGTTAGGCTCATTTAGCATTATTTTTGTATATACGTCATACCTCGCACAATCCTCTGTTTCACAAACTGTTGGAAAGCACTATTTCTATAATTACCATTTTACAAGCTTATCAGACAGTTACAAGCTATGGACTGTGGGTAAAGCATCGATGCAGTGCCTCTGTTGACTATAGTATAAAGTATAGTTTGCCAATCAGAGTATAAGCGTTAAGAAGGGTATATTGTAGGATAGTTGTTTATTTAAGCAGGCGGAAAAAGTATAGAAGTATATGAGTTGTGGATATGGGAACGAGTAGAGAAATAATATTAATTGCTAGTCAACATAGTGTACTGAAGAGTAAAATGTTAATACAGGATAAACAGGAAGGGACTCACAGTAACTTGGTGATGATGTTATTTTCTGTTGTCCTAACCAGTTGATTGGTAACAGGCTCCATAAATGCAAGACCACTGGTAGTAGGCAGCCGATTGTGCGGTCCTCTTGACGTTTTAGGGTGGTAGTGAGTGTCCCTTATCGACCGAGTTTATTTTAACAGTAATGATAGGTCCATTGAGTTACCTGTCTACTTCAAGTGAAGAGATGGGGCGGAAAAAGTAATTAATACAACTGCAAAGTAGGAAAACTAAGGTAAACTGAACTTGAAGTCCATTTTGGTCTAGACATGGAGAGAGCCTATGATGTCTGAGTGGGGCGCAGATGTGTTCGTACGTGCAAGATCAGTGCAAGTGAGGGCTTGATCAAGCAGTTTCACAAACGTATGTAATTCATCTGCCATGCGAGTTTCGGAGGGAAGACTGTTCCATATTATTGCATACTTGGTGAGGAAGAAGTTTTCCCGAGTTTTTGATCTGTATTTCTCAACTTTGACCGTAGATACTTTGTTTCGAAGTCCGTATTCATGTGAATCTCGGGCAAGAATTATCTTACACGTTGAATAAGTAAGGTTTTTGAGTAGTTTGAAGTAGAGAATCAAATTAGACCTAAGCCTTCTCTTCCAAAGGGGTGCTATTCCTAAGATTTGGCATCGGTAACTGTAGTCAATGACCAAGTCAGTCTTAAGTACCTTGCGAGTGAATCCTGAGTCTGTCCGACATTGTATTGTATAAAAATCCTGTATTATCTAGAATATGCTCATTAGTATTGGAATTAACAAACTAAATCGGAACAAACTCACCTGGAATTGTACACAATCAACATGTCAGTTTTGTACCGAAATCATTAGTATCTCGAATTGAAACCATAGATTTTTCAACGCTATCCCCCCCCCACGAAATAATCTTGAGTCTTTAAATCCCCAAGTTATGAATAATGTGGCTTCATTTAAAACATATTTCATGTGTTGATTAGAGTAAACATTGGAAGTGTTTTTGTGATAAGGATGAACAACAGTTGGTATGAAATCATCAGAATTCTAATCAAAATCAAGCTCATTTAGTACTCGTGCATTGCATTGAACAAGTTTTTCACAAGGAGCAAATGCATTAAGAGGATAGGTAATGTATGATATGAAATCAGAATTTGATTCTTCTGAAATATTTTCATGAAATTTATTAAGAATGTCATTGCAGAGCAATGGATCATTAGAAAAATTAGCATCCATCATGAAAGCTTCAGGTTTTTGATAATGTATGGGTTCATTTAACATATTTTCTTCAGATTTGTAAGAAATTTCATCCGAAATATGTGAATCATAAGAAAAGCCATACCTGGTACCATAGCATGAGAATTCTGATTGCTTAGAAACTGTTGTTTCGCAAGAATTCTGAATTTGGTTTAACTCTGAAGTGGTTTGCGACTCTACACTGTATATTGCAATCGTTGATAAAGATGAGTCATCATTATAAATACTCTGCTCAGTAGAATCAGAATCACAAGACTTAATATAAGTTGCAATAAGATGAACATTAATGTAACGAAAAGAGAACTGTGAAAATCCCTCTGCAGCTTCTTTGTTGAACAGTATTTTCATTTATTTGTTCCTTCTCCCTTTCGTGTATTCCAACCTTTGTTTCGATCTCGTTTAACCATGTCTTTTGTTCTTCAATCTTCCCCGTTTGAGCCTTTATTATGTGATTTTGATTAAATACTTATTTTTGTTACCTAATTTCCTATTGCATGTTGCCGGACCATTGACAGTAAGGTTGTGTTTGACTAAGCTCAAGGTTACGGCGTGGTTCAGTCTGTGACTGTTAACCTTCTGACTGTCTGCTTGGGAGAATTGCTGCAATCCCTGCAGATAGATATTTGATCCCGTCTTATTGGGAATATTTGTACTGATTCTCAGGTATCAAACCCTTTAGTATTAACTGTCTCTTTCATTGTTTAGCGCACTACTTTGCGTTAGAGAAACTTCTGACTGCATAGCACAGGCTGTACCGTTTAAGGTATTCTGTATTTTTGATGTAATTTGTTCTGTTTTCTTAATTAGAACCGTTTATATTGAGCACAGAGTTTGTGTTTTGATATAATATAATACGAGTATCTCAAAGACGCTTTGTGAGCTATACAGAGGAACTTGGTCTGGTCTAATCGAATAAAATTTGGTTTCGCCAGTCCGTTGTTCCATCCGAATATTGGTTGTTCGGCCGCTACAATTAATATTACAGATATACTGAATACATCCAATAATATCACATTTAAAGCACTCAGAATCACGAAATTTACATGAATTAAAAGCGTGGAACTTGCCACAAGACAAACATTGACCAAACTTGAGCCAATCTGCGTGAAACGCACTGCAACTCCTCAATGAATTATCTGCATAACCTTGAGTATGCACTGGATTGGGATGACGTGATGTAGTAGAATTTTTGATGTCCTGATGAATCATTTTACGAAATTTCCCCTCTTTACTGCAATCGAAATTAGCATACTTGACATACTTTACTTTACTTGACTTACGCCTGTTACTCCTCGTGAAGGAGCATAGGCCGCTCACCAG